GTGGGGGGTACAGGGGTGAGGTGGAGCGGGGTACCTGGACTGCTGCAGGTTTCTGGAGCCCCTCTGGAGGGGTTGGCAGCACTGGGGCTGCTGACACAATGGCAAGTGCTCTCAGCTCTCTTCTTTTGGGAGGTTTGGTGTTGCTGTTGGAGGGGTGAAGGGCATCTCTTCAAGCGTTTGATCTGGTATTGTACATAACAGCCCAGGGGAAAAGTCAGATAACAAAGTTTCCGGTCTCTTGGAAATACTTGCTTTCTGTGCTCTTGTCTGATGTCTGCAAAAGCAAGATCCAACAGGACTGGAGGGGTGTTGTCTGTGTTTCTCAGTCAATAAGTGTCACAAACGAGCCTTATACGAGGTCCTGAATGTTTCATATGGAATAGGTAATCACAGGCAGTGCGCAAGCGTGCTCCTGGCTACAACATTATGTACCCTGAATGTTCTGAACCAACTTGAAAAATCTTGGTTGTTCTGAATCAAACCTCATTTACATGATAGAATTCTGAAAAAGTACTTTCAATTTAATACAGGTTTCAGTTTGACCTTGAAATTCTGGGTCAAAGCTGTTGTAATCAGCATGGCATCTAATGCATACAAGCAAGAGCTGTGTTCAGCAGCAAGCTCTGTGGACATGATTTCCCCCTTGAAATGGAGCTTGTTAGCTCCAGAGATCTGTGCTCTGTGTTGGGTCTGTGCAAAGCTAAGGCCAGTATGATACAATGGATGTTTCACAAGGGCTTTTTACTTTCAGACACTTGTGCAGCACAAGTATTTTCTGCCTTTCCTTATAACAGGAACCTGTCCTATCTAAGAACAACCCAGAGTTTCTGTGTGACAGTCTAAAACGTAAGCTTGGCTGCACAGATGAAACTCAGCTGACATACCCCTGAGGAGGTGAAGGCTCCTTGATTCACTTGTAGTGTCTTGTCTTTAGCCAAAAGCTGTTTTCTGCGGAGCCTGAGGAATAGCTAATGGCATGAGACTGTGGGTACTGTATGATTATTTTTTTTGTGCACTCGTTCTAAATTTATACTGTAGGAATCTGCTTTTGCTAAATCTGTGATATAATCTAGATTTAGATGTCTCAATGGATACGTGGAACTTCTTCTATACTTGCACGGTGTCCTTATGGCTGCACAGATTTTACATCTATTCTGCTGTTGCTCTTGGGATTGGCATTTGGATTGTTACTCAGTTCACCACCACCAAAACCAGAAAGAAGGTGAGTTAACATGTAAGCACTTCTGTCTGAGAAGACCCCAAAAATCTGTGTGGAAGTGAGTAGTTGCCAGGTAAAGGTACCTGCTAGTGCAGTGAAATGTGCTACTTCATTGTGGGCCCACCTAGGTTGTTGCAAATCCCAAATGTAGTTTAGTTATCTGATGGTTATAATCCTCAGTCTGGATTGTCTTATGTTTGTGGGTAACAAAACACCCTCGTTGCTCTGATGTTAGAGCAGATCTCAGCTGAACACTTCACTCTTTGTTGAGAGAATGTGTTGGCCTGGGTTGCTCTGTCACTTCAAGTAAATCACTTTGCTGGTGCCTAGTGTTTTCAGATTCATGTTTCCAGTGATGTTAATGACAAGGTTAGACTGGGTTTACAATGGGAGTGGGATTAGGCCATTCAGGAATTTAAAATCTCCTCCTGCAGGTGAGTGAAGTTCTGCTGCAGGAGTTGGGAGGTTCTTGGGTTCAGCTGGATCCTGTTACCTCCCCAGTGTGTGAGATGAGTTTACTGTAGCATGGCCTAGTTCAGAGAAATAGTTACTCGTGTGTTTCTCTAGGTGTGAGAAGCTAAAATGCTTTGACTGTTGCATTTGTGTAGTGCTGAGAGTCTGGTCACAGGACATGTATTTATAATGCTTTTGGGAAGATGGGGTTAACATCACTTTGAAAAGGGATTGTGATGAAACATAGTGCTTGTTTCTTAGGTTGAAAAATCCAATAGGAATCCAGCTTCTGAAGGAATAGAAGACAAACTAGTAAATGGATATGCCACCCTGCAGGCAAAGGAGGTCTATGTTGCTGGGGTAAAGATTTTCTATGGGTCTCAGACTGGCACAGCAAAGGTATTAAGTTACTTTTTTTTTCGCATGCTTGAAGTTGATTTGAAATATTGTTGAGATTCAAGTATGTTGCTCGCCTTAGAAACACTGCACTGTGTAAACACCTGAAAGTTCATCAGAACATTTGTTAGAAGTCACTGCCTGACATGAAAGATAATTGAAAATTATATAAAAGTAACAATTATTCTACTCCCTTTAAGTGGGGTATACAGTAGAGACATTGATTATGAAGCTTAAAATTTACTCCTACAATATACTCTTAATTTGCCAGCAGGTCTTGTTAGAGGGAACTGCTGGTTTAGGTGCTTTCTTTCTCAAAGAAATTTAATTTGTGTGTGTGCATGTAAAATCATTAGTCATTAAAATTCATGTAACTCTCTTCTTCCAGCCAGTGTACTTCACTTTTTTAAATGTGAGGAATTATAGGTCCAATGTCCAGTTCTCATGTGTCATTGTTCTTCCCATGCTGGGAGACATCTAGTGACTGTTGGCCATGGCAGGGCTTGTTTAATGTTTGTCATAGTTGGGTTGAAGTAATTGATAACTTTCTACATTTCTTTTTTTTTTTTTTTCAGAGATTTGCCAAAGATCTGGCTGAGGCAGTTTTTTCCCTTAATTTGCCCGTGGAAGTCATTAGCATGGGAGACTATGATCCAGATGATTGTTTAGCAGAGGAGGTAGGTACCTCATAAGTATGAATAATAAATACAAGCTTTTCCTGGGATTGTGGAGGCTCTTTCTTCTTTCTGCTTCCTTTCTACGTAAGCAAGTATAGCCCATCAACCCTCAGCAGAAAAATACCTGAATTCTGAAAATTACTAGGAAAGGATCATGTAGAATATTGTGATACTGGCAGTGATTTTGTATGAGCTACTTCTGTAACTTCAGTGTGAGTTATGTGACAGTGGCTGTACCAGGTTCCCCTATTCTGTCTCTGATGGTGTACACCTGGGAGGGGTTCAAAACCAGAACAGGTAGATAGTGATAATTCTGCAGCCTTCAAAGACTTAGAAACTTCTTGGGAAGCATATCTGTATTGAGTAATCCTTGATGATTTTTTTTCTTCTGTAAATATTGATAGTTGCTTTTTTGAATCCATGGGAGACTTTATCGTTGCAGGAGTCTGTTCAAGAAGCTGTTGATTGGGGTAGGGAAGGTAGGTGTCCAGTTCTGGTTTACTACCATGTCTCTCTTAGGTAGGGGGAAGACAGCTTGATCTCCCTTGGCTAGTTTAGGATGGCTTTGCAGGAAGGATGGCCATTCACCACCATTGGAATTATCATCTGCAGCATCCCACACCAAAGATTCTTAACCCACTTAGCAAAAATCTTGTCTTTTGACTTCTTGCAACTGTCCACGTGTTACAGCTCTCTTCCTGATGTAATGTGTTCTGAAAAATGCATGATCTTTTCTATTCTGTTCTCTTTATGTTATTAGACAACCAGCAGGAACATTTGTGTGTTCTTGGTAGCTACATACACAGATGGACAGCCAACTGAGAGTGCAGCGTGGTTCTGCAAGTGGTTAGAAGAGGCTGCGAATGACTTCCGCTTTGGCAAAATGTATCTGAAAGGCCTGAGATATGCTGTGTTTGGCTTGGGAAACTCAGTTTACGTTGATCATTACAACACAGTAAGTATGTCCTGTGCACCTTCCTTTGACTTCTGCTCCTCTGAAAGGCTAACCTTTCTTAAATGCTACAAAACTGAATGATACTGGTAGTTTGTGTGAGAATTGCAGCTGTTGTGCAGACTTGATTACAGGCTGGGTTTAGGGCACAGGCAGTGCAGCTTTGAAGCAATTGTGCTGCCCTTTTGAATAGGAAAGGACTCCCATAAGCACTGCATTAATCTGCAAGGTATGGTAATACATTTGGTAAATCCTTACTGAGGTTTGATAGATTTATATCGGTGCATGAGGGTACAGTCCTGTAAACCCTCTCACTTGCTGCTGTTTACTTTAGAGGGCCTTTATCTTAGGTACTTTGCTGTATTGTGTGGACTTTAGCTTTATTTCCTGATGTAAAATATGACAATATCTTAGCCTGGTAATTAGTTTCATCTCAGTCAGAAAAACGGCATGACTTGTCACCAGGTTGTTATATTTGTATAGCTGGGGCCACATGAAATGTGTTATACATGTGGACATTTTGACCAGCAACCATTGCATGAAGAAACTTGCACCCAGAGCTCATCTCTTACCACATCAGTATGATAGCAGAGGTATTTTCAGATGGGAGCCTGAAGGTGTATTGTATTCAGACTGACTTGTGGCCGTGCTCTGAGTCAGCAGGTGAGAGGGAGACCAAAGTCCCTGCTTTGCTGTCCTAGCTCTGTTTCCAGGCTTGGTCCTTGCTTTCTTAATTGTCTGCTTTGTTTAACTTGGGCTTCATTTAATTTCCCTCTAACTTTCATCCTGTTCTAGGTTGGAAGAAATATTGACAGATGGCTGTGGATGCTCAGTGCCAGCCGTGTCATGACTCGTGCTGAGGGGGACTGCAACGTGGCCCAGAGCAAGCATGGCAGCATTGAGGCTGACTTTGAAGCCTGGAAAGCCAAGTTCCTCAGTCGGCTCCAGGCACTCTGCAGAGGGGAAAAGAAGCCCTGCAGTGGGAATTGCAAGAAAGGGAAGTGCAGATCTCTGGGGAAGCAGAGCAAAGAGAGCTCAGATCATGAACACAGGGCATCAGAATACAACAATACTGAGGTAGAGACAAAATCCACGGGGCCTTGTTTCTGGTTTAGTGCCCCTTGAGCACTTTTTGAATTCTCTCCTTCCTCCGAAACCCAGAGGGGTCCTGTGGGAGCTGGATACTTTGTAGAGCACAGGGGGAAGAGGGATGAGATCCCATAGCGGGTAACAGGTAGAATAAGCCATCCAAAAAGAAGGACCAAAGCATTAATGATGGACCTAGGCTAGATGGCATTTGTATGATGAGGAAGTCCTCCCCTTGAATAGGGGAAGGTATATGTTGTGACAGATGCTCCAGGGAACCAGTCTGGTTTCTCATCGGAGTCTTTGCTTTGTCTCATGGTCAAGTGAAGCATTTAGTTCCCTGTGAACAGTTAACCTGCTTCCACTTCAACTTGTTGAAGCTTAGGTGCTTTGCCTGCATCCCAAGGTTTTTCCAAAGGCAGTTGGGGGGGTGTTACCTGAGCAAGTCCTGTATTTCCTTTGAATGTGTTTGCCTGTAATCATCTGTATGTCTTTTTGGAGTGTTCGTTGATTGCAGGTTTTGAATAAGAAATCCTCTCCCTTGCTCTACAGCGCAAGGCTCAGAGCTGCTATGGCACTTTAATCCTCCCTGCAAGCCATTTATTGTGGGCTGGAAATGATTCCTATGGCTATGTTGAATTTTGTAGGAAAACAGGGGCTCTTCTGGCTGAGTGCGTTTGAGTGTGTTGGCTGCTGCAGAAACAAGAGGAGTAAGTCTTGCTGTTACACCAATGCTGTTGTGCTATACCTTGGCTGTATACAGAAAGGGAGACAACTTTTCTGCTCTGTGAAGAGTTTGACTTGGAAAGCAGGTCTTTTACTCGCTGTTCATTCAGGCAGGAGCACCTGGAGGAGTTAAAGGGATTTAGCCTTCCAGATCATCATAGTACGCAGTGGGAGTTGGACTCCTCTGTGTGGACCTCTCGTGGTCAGATAGGCACATGAGGAAAATAGCAGTCTGGAGGCAGGATATCTGGACTGAGTTTCAGGCAGTCTGTGTGCTACTGAACTCTTAAAAATACATGCTGATAAAAGCCCCAAGTTTAAATGCATCTCATATACATTATATAGGCTATTGGTAGGCTATTTCTTGGTTTTAATTATTTTTTACTGATTGTGAGAGCTGATTTCACTGGTTAGCACAGATGAAGGTCTTGTGTTTAACATTCAGATACATCCCTAATTTTTTTTTTCTCTGATCTCTTACACAGGCAGAGGAGTTGTTTGAAACCAGTAGTGAGGAGGAGGCTGATGCTGAGGAAGCTGGAGGCACAAATTCTGTTCTTGATGTTGAAGATCTTGGCAATATCATGAGCCACATGAAGAAAGCAAAGGTACTACTGTTAGAACTGCCAGGTCTTTGTCACTGATCAGTTGAATTGATTAAAATATTGCCTGCTGGATTTGAATCTGTAGGGTCCAGTTAAAGGGAGAGCACAATATGAGCTATTGGAGAACCTCTCTCAAAAAAACCCATACTTGGAGGTGTGTTGGATATAGTTACTGACTAACTGTGACTTGTTCACTGAGCAAATGCTGCAATGGTAACCTGTTATTTTCAGTGTGAGAGAAATTACTTCCACAGCCAACATCCAGATCTGAATGTACATTTCTGCCACTGTGATTCACAGTCCAGTGTCTAAACACAAATCCTGTTACTAGACCTGCCCATGCGTACGTCAGCTGGCATGTGTTGTGATGGGGAGCAGAGCTGCTGGTGGAGTGGTAACACACAAGCAAGAGTTTCTGTCTTGCTTGCTGCTGCCTTAAGATGAGGTGCTATGCTTGCAGAGCAAGCCAGCAAGCTTGATTTGACCTGTGCTGAGCCTGTCAAAAGACAACCATGATTCCTGCTTTGTTTCAGGGTGTTGCTATCTCTGTTTCTGTGTGGTTCTGTTCATGTTTTGTTTTCTGTGTTTAGAGTCTGCAAACAAGATCTAACCAAATAAAGGAGTTGGGTATCACACAAAAAGGAGTGAGGATATAAATAGCTACTAGGCTAAGCCTTAGTGTGCCCAGCACCCTATTTGCTGGCCGTGCAGTTGGCAGGGGAAGAGTTAGCGCTGGGATGGTCCTGTGATGTACTATGGTGCCGTCTGCTGACTGTTTTTCCCCCTTAGTGATCCTCCTATGGTGGTGTCTTTCCTCATGAACCCTTGAGCTGCTATCCACATGCCTCTCAGCAAACCTAACTCTGTCTGTAATTACACCTTCCTTATCTTGCATGCCTCTACAGTGTGGGCTTCTCACAGCTCTTTCCTGAAATTTAATGATCTCCTCAGCAGTCTGAGCCAAGGTGATGCTGCTGGGGCACAGCAAGTCAGGCCTTGGATCACAGGAGGCTGCATGTTTAGGAGGGAAGGGGGTTACCAGGGGAGCATGGGGATCTGTGTTCCTCACCTTAGGGAGGGGGAAAGAGGCAAAATGCTTCCTGCTTGCTGCTTGTAACACTGACACTAGGAGGGTGGCCCCATGGACTTGGGGGCAAGGCACACTGCTGTGTGCATACTCCCGTCTCTGAGCTTGTATCAACTTGTGTGCTGCAGCTTGCAAGAGAAGGATGGATGAACCGTTTGGCTTTTCTTTGTTGGAGGGAGAAAGGATCAGTCTTTCTCCCTGTGTAGCTGTGCTGTGAAGTGGTCCTCTTCCTCCTGCATGTGCTCACCACTAGAGGTCACTGACAAAAAGGGAACTGTGGGGTGGTTTTTTGTAGCAGCATGCCCTGGGAGATGATTTAGACCAGGGAAGGGAGGTGCTGTTGTCCAGTAGTTTTATGAAAAATTAGGCATTGAGTTTTCACTGACTGATAAAATGTGGCAACACCGTGATCAAAGAGTAGGAAAACCACATATCATAGTCCAGTTTACCAACAAAAAGTGAGCACAGCAATAAAATACTTCCTGCTCTTAGCTTCTCATGCTCCTTGCTTGTGTAGTGAGCACAGCTGAAGTCAATGTGGTATGGTTTTATACATAGGCAGTGACAACTCATTGCTCTCTGAGTCAAGCATTGGAACAGGCTGCCCAGAGAGGTGGTGGAGTCACCATCCCTGGAAGCATTCAAAAAACAGGTAGATGTGGCACTCTGGGACATGGTTTAGTCTAGTCTACCCTTGATTGGTTTAGTGTGGACTTGGTAATGTAGGTTAATGATTGGACTGGATGATCTTAAAGGTCTTTTCCAACCTAAACGATTCTATGACTTTGGCTGATGTATGATTCAAACAATTAACTACTTTCGCCTTAGCTTTCTCATTGCTCTGAGTGGTGAGAGGCCTGCATGTTGTACATACAAATTACTAAGTATCTCTGTGTAGATCAGGTTCTCATGGCTCTGACCTAAGTAGCCCCTCTGATCTGAGGGACAGCTTCTGTTTCAGCACAGATGCTCATCTGGAGTTGTAAGCTGCAGTTTTTGATCTGCTGCCTTTTCCTTGGAGATGGCAAACAGTTGTTCTGCTGTGACAGCTGAATGCTGCCCTCTTGCCTCTGCAAGTAGTTAAATCCTGAGAGTGTAAGTGTCCGTGTGGGACTGGAAGTGTGCTCTTACTGTTTGTAGAAGTGTCCTGGCCCTTTTGGATACAAACTATTGTCAGCTGGTGAGATGGGAGGCCCTAAAACTGTGGATCAGCCTTTCTTTGTTGCTGATGCCACTGAACTGTGCTGCTGTAGTCATGTCCCAGTTTTTTGATTAATTTTGAAACCTTAAACGATGCAGTTCTCATTACTGGCCCCTTTATTCCTGTTCTGCATGGCTGATCAGCCTAGCTGCAATCTAAGTTTCTGGTTTCATGCTTCTGTAACCAGAGCAGAAAGGGCCCTCGGTGACTTTGATGTAAATCCGCAGCTCTCTTGAATGGGGGTTTTGTTTCCAGAGTGATGGCAGTATATAGCTGTGTAAATATTTCATGAGGGAGCTTGAACTGATGGCTATCTGTATCATTAGCTGGGAGAAAGAATTACTTTGTCTGGGTGGTGAATCTCCTGGGGAATGTGTGCATTGACTTGCAACAGGTTTATGCAAGCACTTGAATTGTAAAATGATCCCATAGGTGCAGTTATAATGAAAATAAATGCTGAAAACTTGGTATGAAAGAGCAGGATGATCTGCATTTATGAAAGTAACTTATCATGATCAGGCTCTCTTGCTCCTAGGTAGGAAGATATAGTTGTTTAAATCCAGTACCTGTTGGTTGAAGTCACATCCTCACTTTAGTGGCTATGAGTTTGTGTGATGAGAAATTTTCTTTCTCAGATGAGTTGTGTTGTCCCTTTAGCCATGTTTTTGAGCTGTGTAAAGTTAGTCTGACACTTTTGTTTTACACTGATGTAATCACTGTCGTCTTGCAGTAATCCCTACCAAGACATGCAAGTACTTTGGGTTTTTGTATCTGAACTATGCATATAGCAAGTTTGAAGAAAACTTGTGTATTTCAGGGTTGTATTGCAGACACTTCTTCATATGCAGAGTTACTTCGATTTGAAATGTGCCTAACGGTTTTCAGCATGGGTTTTGTGGATGTCAGTGTTGTGTATTAACTCCTGCATATGGGAGATAGAATAGCAGGTTCTGCCTTGTGCAATGTAGCTAATTTGAAATGTTTTAGGGTCCAGCTTTGACCTCTTTTGCAGGTATGTGTGAGAATCACTAGCAGATAAGACAGATGTGCAGTCACAGTCATGATTCCTTGTTGTCCTGCCTTTTATGGGATGGCAGGGTGAGGCTGTGGAGGTGAGTGTATCTAATAAATGTTTCCTCACATCTCTGCAGGTGATCTTAATTTAATTTTGCATCAATCTCCTGTTGCTTGACTTGATGGAAATGAAGGCTGAGTTTTGTTTTACAGCTTTTTTTCCCCCCCATATGCTGCAGCTTCATTGTACTTTACAAAATATTGTCAAAGGGCTTGAGACAGGTACTGGATTCTTGCAGATTCTTGGATCAGGCAGATGGATTCAGGACTTCAAGGTAAATGCATGAACCTCTCTTCCTAGTAGAGTTGTAGCTATTACATACTGTCTCTTGGAAAAGAGATAGACTTTTTTTTTTAAAGAGCTTCTGAGGGTAAAGATACACAGTTCAAGGTGATGGTGCCTTCTGCACACTGAATCTGAGCAGAAAAATTAGCACAAGGTTGGGTGGCAACAGGAAATCATTCAAATGTATAAAATGATGGCTGATACAAAGGTGAATTCTACACTTTGGTCACTAAATCTCATACTATATGGTGATGACTACTTCATAGCTGCTAAAATCCAGCCCTTTTTTTTTTCTGAGTAATTAAATTTTTGGGACTTGCTGCAGGTCATATAGTTGCAGGTGATGCTTATTAGGGTCCTGAACTAGAATCAAACCTTTATGTCAGTGCAGATAATGCCTATGCTTTCATGAAGGGAATTGCTAGGCATGAAAGTTCAGCAGTGGGTAATGTGGCCATGGCCTGAAGGAGGGCTGGGGAGGTCTAAGGCTGCTTCTCTCAGGTGCCTGAAGATCCAAGGCTGTGGTGCCAGGCAGGGCTGGATGATGCACAGCTAGTTGGATTAAAGTCTGGGTTTTCTGTGCATTTACCCTTCCAGCTGCTTGTTTTTTAGGCTGAGAACCTCGTCCTGTTCTTCAAATTGCTTTTATGCAGCAGCAGAAGGCAGTGGTGGTTCTTAGTGGATTTAATAAGTAAGTGGACTCGTAAGTTTTACAATTGTGGCACACTTCCCCTGTCCTCCAAAGTTACTTCCCTGAAGTGTATTTATCAGATATAATGTGAAAGCTAATGGGTATGTTTGTGGCCTGCAAGACTGCTATTAATCATAGGGACACCATTTCTTGATGTGGATTATCTCCCACAGCTGGGAGATTGTGATAAACTAGAAAGATCAATCTAGACTTGTTCCCAGGGAATGAAATGGCTTTATTAACCTTCATATTTATAAACTGCAGGCATGAATAATAGTAATAATAACATCCTAATTTTTTTGGATGGGTTGGGAAGTAATCAAATGGGTATATTTTGTTGACACAATTTTGAGATTAATGTTCTTGTTTTCTAAAATAAAAAGTTTAATGATGCTGATAGTCACATTTGCAATGTAAATACAGAGGAGGGGTGTGTGCGAGAGAGCAAGACTGAGACTGAATTTACAGGAAACAAAATATGTCGCAGAGAGTATGTTAAAGAAGTTTGTTTACTTCTATGTCCATTTGCCACAGGGAAGGTTTCCTGATCTCCTTTGGCACGCTTCCCTAAAAAGTCATCCTACATTAGCCATTTACCACCACTGGGATTTTAAGTCACACAGCTTGCAACGTTTCCTAAGAGCCCTTTGTGAGAGTATGACTG